AAATTTAAAAAATGAGTACTTAAGACCCATTGGAAAAGACGGCAGTGCACAATGTATTAGTCGCAATGCACAGAGGACGAAAGAGGTAGAAGAGCAAATGAACGCCTAGGCAATATGGTGTGAGAAATAAATCGCTACATATTAGTTAATGAAAATCGTTGCAGATGACCTTCATAATTAAAATATCCACTGACAACTGATTTTTCATTTTTATTTTTAAAAAATGCTGCATATAATTATAAATCGTATAGAATCAGAAGTATGTATTGCAATATTTAAAGTAAAGGAAAATAAGTAAGGACCATCTTAGTCAAAACCGATGACTACGTACACAACGTCTAATGTCTTCTAATCCCTCGGTGTATGCGAACGTCTTCGGGCTAATCTTGTTAGCCTAGGCTGAGATAAAAGCCGTATGGCTGACCCTGTAGACCTGCAGAGTTTGAATCCCTTAAAATGAGGTCTTTAGACTTGCTCAATATGGGTGTGGAAAAAAAAGGTATGAGGTGTATTTGTTTGCACTGTTCGCGTCATTATTATAGACAGTATGGCCTGAGAGAAAAAGTAATTTGATTAATGCCCCAGAATAAACTTCAATAATGCAAACGGGCGAGTCATCCAAGCTGAAGCTTCAATAAACTACAGGTAGTCTGCCGTTAGATTATCATCCATGGTGGAATAGATGAAGCAAATTTGGGGAATAGGACACTATTTTCCTGCCCCTTACCACTTCCGTGGAATGCGCACGAAAATTAAAACATAACATTTCTTTTTCCTCTCAATTTGATGCTTTATGCTATATTGCTAATTTCATTATTAACTTATTACATATAGCAATATTATGCTGATATTTTTACATTTCCAAGAATCAATACTTTGCTTTGGATACATAATTAATATAATATCAATCCTGTCCTGTGATGGACTTAACTTGTTTTACCAAACAAAAAGGTGTTTTTTATTTGATTTCTCTCTTGAATTCAAAGGTACGATGTAGAAAAAAAAGTTTTTTTTCAATACTGAAATCTAGCGACGAGAGTCATTGGAAAACAACAGCAATTCCAAGAACAATATCCCGGAGAGTGTTTACTCGAAGTCTTAACATGATAAGAAAGTGGGGGAAGCCCTCGCGCTGTGGGAACCAAAACATGAGAGGTAAGCAAGGTAGGAGAGGACCTTTATCAGGATGATACTCTATTTAAAACCGATGCATGTATGTTGAATGGTCGTAACGTTAAAGACTAGGAATGTTGTATCACTGAACGATTTTGGTCAGTGGCCATTGTCCTTTTCCGGTTAGTGATGGTCATCCAATTACTTAAGCGTTCTCTGCGAATAGAATCCAGGCACCGGATGTCTAAGGTACTAATAAGTATTTTCAATTTTTACGCTCAGAGGGCTACACAATACGGTTTCAACCGCACTAACTTACTTTAACGGCGCAGGCACTTTACAGTACTGTAATTGATAACATCGTTGTATTATAGGGATAACATAATCTACACTGTCCAATAAAATACAAATCATCATTAATGTAACATTATGAAGTAACAGAGATATGCGAATTGAATTGAAATTCAATGCGTTATATTTATACTGTGATGTACATATATATTGAGCAATTACTAGCTTATGTTTTCGACCAATAGTCGTTAGGCAGGCAATCCGTTATGACACTAATCATGAAAAAAAGTATAAAAAATCTAGTGAATTCGGTCCACTCAGACGAATGATTGTATGGATACGATCTAACTGATCAGTGAAAAAATCGGTGGCACCGAGAACCCTGAATCAGTTTTTCGCCGGGAGTTTCTTCTGGAAAATTCGGGGAGGGAAGTGGGATGACATTGTAAATGACAAGGCTAAACATGTATTATATTTCATTTATTATTCATATTGATTAATTCATTCTGGGAATGTTTACAATATATATAATATAATATAACATAATAATTTTAAATTAATTTTTTGGGAAGATAAAAACTTTCAGAATTTGAAAAAACTTTATAAATTATTTCTGCATACCCTGAGGTAAGAGCATGCAATTCTAACATACTCCATTCGTAGCAGCAATGAAAATCAATGACCCTATATGGATCGTAATGTTTGTCAAAAGTAATTTTGTTGAGTTTTGTCGTTATGAGAAAAATCTCATCCTCTGTTTCATAACAGCACATATAAACTTCATGAAATATTGGTCCATCACGGGCCCGAATCATGATAATACTCTCTCTTTTAATGATTAATTGTCCTCTCTTAATCCATTTTAATGTTTTGATACTTTCAATACAAAATTTACTCGTAAAAGTCGAGATCGGGCCATCATACACATTTTCAAATGACTGTGGACCTAAACTGAATTCAAAATATGAATTATTATTCATAAAGAATCTATGGTTTAATCGTAATTGGCGCCTAACAGCTACTGTGTGTACAGGATTTTTTTCACTAATCGCTGAACGTGTCGCTTGTTTGCCTTCTTGATGCTTACTCTCATAACGAATAGCCGATACATTTCATAAAGGACCATTATTTTTGATCGCACGAGAATAATGAACGCATATGTGATGTTTTGGTTTTAAATTTCCCGGGAATAGTTTTGAATGTGAAGACAAATAATCAGTGATTTCCATGTCTAATTCTTCAGGAGTATGTTCAGTCATTCGATTGCTTGTGCAGATTTCTGTAATTCTTTTCAGAGAGAGAAGTAGATGCCAGACATCATTATTGAGTGGTGCTTTGTGTCCGATCATTAGAGGTAGATTTGTTAACAAACACAAAATTTCGGAGGCACTCATTATAATACATAAATTTTTCAAATGATCTTTCGAAATTTCTACAGGTCGGTTTTTTTCGTTTATATCATAGGGGAATCGGCAGATGATTGTATTGAGTTGAATGGGAGTGAAAAAGTTTTGAGAAATTAAGTAATTGATAATTAATGCCAAATCGTATCTAAGTACACCTTCCAATAAATCGTGGGCAACATCAACCGTCTGATTAGTAATTACATGATAATTGGACAATTTATTGAAAACACATTCTTCTTTGATTCCGGTTACATTAGGTGAATTTAGCTCGACTTCAGTAGCATAATTTTGTTCAGTTCTCAAAGAACAACTTGATTCGTGAACAATGCTATTTATTTCTTTATAATTTATATGGCAGAATCTGCAAAAATGATTCGAGGAAAACGATTCCTGGAAACCTAAAATTGAATTCAGTCCGAAATTATCGCCAAGGACGAGAGCCAAACAGAAATAAATTTGAACAGTTCCAGAAGGAATTTTAATGTTTATTCCGTTGTCTTCTAAAAACTTTAATTCTTCGATAGCCTTCGAAAAAATCATCTCATTACCAATCATGGCTCTGTCTAGTGTATTGAAAAGCATAAAAACGAATATGTTTTCTATTTTTGAACGAAATTCTTCCGGTAAAGAAGCAATGGATAGGTCTACTGCACCTATTTTGTTCACGCCTCTATGCGAGTCTAGAGCATTGTTAGGTTCATAATCGTCGAAATAGAGAAATAACGGTAAAGCGATTTTTTCACCGAATAATGCTTTTTTTCTTTTCCACAATTGTCCTTGCGCAAAATTTTGTATCATCATATTAGATGTACTCTCTAAATATCTCAAATAGTTGGTTGTTTTATCAAAAACTCCATCCATTTCAAACAATTTCATAAAGACTTGCCGTATAGAGATAAATTCTAATTTTGCAGGTATTGTTGTATAGATAATGGTATCAATTCGTCATTTAAATTCTCGCCTCTGACCAATTACGATACTTTTCGGCGGTATAAACTTCTCCGTTTTCTCGTACCGACTAAAACGACGATGTTCAGTTCACATTTCATCAAGTAATGAAGCTGACTCCCGCACAATTTTTTTAGTGCAGAAACTTCAGAAAACTGAGGGGTTGATTTGGATTCACTATCAATTTGCTTCTTTGCGTTACTTAACATGGCCTTGATTAAATCAAAGAATTCATTAATAATTTCGTCGATTCTTATTCTTGAAATCGTTACAGAATCATATAATTTTGCAGTGAATTGAATTATATTTTGTCGAATGAGATCATTGTAATCTTTGTTACCCTCAATGTCTTGAAATTTAGAGTTACTGTCGCTTTCAATTCGCGTGGTTGCAGTATTACTTCAAGAAAGCAAAAATTCTTCTTCATCATCGCCTTTTGTATCTTCATGAAAGGAAGAAGTCAATACGGCTGGTACTTCAGTGGGGTGAAAATTGTAATTAATTTCAATGGAATCATTCTCGAGCGTATCATTAGAGCATAAGACCTCATCCATACAAGATGATATGCAATCATTGTTAAATTTTGGCATAACATTTTACATCTCGTATGTCTGTGTCGTGCAAACGATCGGAAAAGTGAAAAGGTTCTGTTGCACCAGTTTTCGGAACAACGGCGGCGACAGTAGCCACGCAGGCGGTGTGTGACTCCGGCGATCACCCAAGCTAAGCAACGCTCAGTTGGGTTAGTACTTGGATGGGTGCCCGCTTAGTCACACCCATCGGCGTGTAGACTGCCGCCGTCAGGCACGGGTGCGGAGAGCTGGTGTGTTCACCGAGTCAGTGTGACTGATGAACACAGCAGAATCCCCGCAGTACCGGCCGGCTGCGCTACTGAGGTTTTACATGGTTTCCCTCAGTACACGCCAAATGGGCGCAGACAGAAAGTCGGCCCATACTACCGCAAAAATAATGAGAGGATAGTAGGAGAGGCTAATGAGAGGATAGTAGGAGAGGCTGAAAGGCTAAGACGAAGGGGCGCCTATCAAACCATGGTAACAATGGTAATAGGAAAAGGAAAAAAAATGTGTTTTCGGAACAACGGAAGACTTCCTCACCACTATGCATATCTCTGATATGTTTTAATAATAATGAATTATCACCGAAGTGACTTTCACAAATGGAACAAAACATTTTGAGACTCGAGATAAGATTAATAATAGAAAAATGTTAGTATTAACGCAATAGAAAATCACTGGAAGAACTATTTAAACTAACATGAATAAACAGAAGGCTCTTACGAAGCGCCTCCGTGACAATTTTCTTTGATTATGGATCGAATCTCACCAATTAATGCATTTAGTACTGTAGCTGGTTTGTCTTTCTTCTCAAAAATATCAAAGTATGCCTGTTGCAAGAAAAGCCACAATGATCGGGAATTTGGCGGATATTCACAGAGTGCTGCATAGCATATTTTCAATGTTACATCACATGCTGCTATGACTGATGGCACTTCGTACAGAACATCTTCTAGAATTACATACGAAGCTTCCACATTTGTTAATGGACCAATGAGAATGGGTATTGGCTGGTGTTGGAGACAATGTTGAGCTGTATGGCTTTTTCCTGCTGCCAATATCGCCTCCAAATCCACTGCACTCTGGAAAAATTCAGGAGCACAATTAAATATTGAAACAAAAAATGAATGGCACGGATAAAGAACTGGATTATTTAAAAAACAGCATTTCTCCATAAGACTCAGGTCTAGTAATCGTTCATTGAGAAAAAATGAATTTCAATATTCAATGGATTATTCCAATGGCGCGAGTATCTGCACTTTTTCGTAGGAGCTAATCATTATTATTTATCCAACGCTTAGGTTAGTGTTAACTCAAATGTACCTATGGGATAGGTAAAAACAAATTCTTTGGGAACGCTATAAAAAAAATTATCGCCTGAATATAATTTATTCTGAGAATAAATTTTATCTTCTGATTCATTTTGATAACCGACTTCAGTGCAATCAGGTTTCGCAAAGAAATTTATATAAATATGATGAGATAAAAAATAATATAATTGAATGATTTTCAAAAAATGAATGAAATTATATGTGAATCGCCTTTTGTTCTTTTAAAAATATAAAAAAATCTCACCTGAAGATGGACGAAGAAAGAGGTTCTGCTTTCTTGAATTGAGAGACGTCTTGGAGGTTGAGCGACAGATGTAACCTGAGCTATTTTTGAATTTTGTTCACTAGTAAGAGAATTTTGAAACTTTCTTTTTCGTCCTCCACTAGTATGCCTATCACTTGGAATTAAATAAGGCAGCAAATGGAAAAAGATTGCAATGTGACATTCTGTAGAAATAAATTTAACATTTATTAAGTGAATATCAAAACTAATGCAGCAGCAAAGTATTAATATCATTCAAGTTGAATTTGCAATTTTTTTTATTGCATGATTATGTCCACTTGGACTTTTTTTACATGGGATAATGATGCACAAAAAAGTTGTGTGTGCTGTATTTCTAGAAACACTGCCTTCGAGCATAACCATACAATTTTATATTCAACTTGCATCGTTTGGCCACTTTCCTACTAGATTGATTTTAAATAAATTGAACGAAACATCTTTCATACTTACTTGGTGGTAAGTAAAAGATTCTTCTCAAGTAAAAGATGATCACTTGCATGAGCAATTCCAGCAGCGTTTAATCGAATCAACAAATGATCTGTTGTTTTAAGCCAATGACTTTTCAACTTGGACCCAGCGTTTGGATACAATCGTACAAAATCAGCTTCAAACTGTGTAATAAAACAAGACAGCTCATAATACTGCCGGTTACAAAAAAAGTCGTCACAATTCTATAATAAAACCATTGAAATTTTTACTTTAATATTACCAAATCCACACCTTTATCCACATTGAGACATGCAAATTTTTGTAGGTAGTTTGCAATCGAAAGTTTGTTTTTAATCAAATCATTTCGACGTGCATCAAACGTATCATTCCATAACCCTTGTATTTCACACCACGGGTCCAGTTTCGCTCGCAGAAGCTCCAATTTCTGAGCGACAGGGACTGAGGAATAAATGAAAAATGAGGTGATTTCCTAACAATTTTTTCCTTCTCATTCATACCCCCCCACATTACTCATTACTTACCACAAATAATATCAACAACTTCCGTAGAGTTTCTGGACACTAAGGTGCCATTTTTGGGCATCGAGTCTCTGACATGACCATAGTGGAAATATAACTTTCCACTTGCATTGATATTACAACCATCAACTGTACGAAAAGGTGAATAATAAGTCAGTGGATTTTCATGGGGGAATGTAGCTGATATCTTATGAGATACGTCGATGAACCATTGCGTTTCGAGTCTGAAATAGGAGATGAATCAATGAGAAATATTTAGGTTACACTATTAAAAATAATGAGGCAAAAAACGGTTCCATGCATTAAATTACATAAAATCCAGCTGTGGTTCAGTTTGACGTCTTTTGAGAAATTTTTTAACCTCAACCCGAAAAATTGTGCGTACGATACGGCAACGCAAGACGTTTTTTAAAAGAATTTCTTTGTCATAGTATTGAACAGCGCTCTGTCCTTCTCTGTCGAGTTCCAGCAAATCTCTGAGTACCTGAAGATATGATCTATGAATGATTCGAAAAAACATTTTGTCAGGATTTTCAAATGGACCTTATTATGTTACGGAATTTTTACCCCTGGTCGTGTATTCCTTTCATCACCAACATTTTGTCCCTGACAAATATTTGACTGTTCACAAAGCTCATTTCTATTAATCAAAGGCTGTCTAAATTGGCTTATAATATGGGGGGAGGAAACTGTGGGAAGAGGAACTGAGCTCGATGAAAGGCGAATTGGTAAGGAAGAGTTGTCATCGTTGAATGATTGTGCGTGCGAACCTTCACCAGAGATTAAGTGAGGAGTAGGTAGGGAAATGATCGGCTCTACAAGAGGAGCATTTTCAACAAGCTGCGAGGGAAAATCATTTCGAAAATTAAAAGGCATTGCAAGGAATGACGACATAGAAGGATCAAGCGGTATTAATGATGAGAGACTTATACCAAATGTTGTTCAGATCCATTCCCACAATTATTAGGTTCCGTCCACAATCGATACGAATCACTCTCATCTAAATTTTCTAAATTTGTAGTGCTATGATAGGCTACACCATTCAAATTGCATGTAGATGACTGCGTATACAAAACTTCTCCATTTTTAAACTATAATCATTTCCGAAAATTACATAAATTGATCAAATTAATTCTGATTAAGGGTAGGCATGTTTAATTTAATGAAATTTGAGCATGTATTCATTAGGAAAATTTCGCAGAATTTTATGTGGACTGTTATTTTTTTCTTTACCATTAAGAGCCAGACATAACCATCATAACAAGAAGAGATCTTCAGAGACTTCAAGGATTGAAAAAATGCAGGAACAGCTAGATATCCTGACAAAACTTGACACGAGTCATGTTTTACTCTATCAGTCAAAAGGCTGAATCGTTTACTTATCTCAATTCTGCGCACGACAATTAAAATTCAGATGCCACACGACTCCGTTTGGATAATGTGAGATTGAAATATTTTTCTTTTCCACTCACAATCAGTATTTTTTTCCTTCACCCCATTATTCATTTCCCCTCAATTACGGAATTAGAGGGAGATGAGGAAAATGACAGCGGAGTAAGCGATATTCCCTCCCTTCCAACAAATGATGAAAAATCTCCCAAGCCTTAATCGTCAGGTATTCCAACAATCCCCCTTGAAGATTCTGCAGTCGGAGAAACTGTGCTGAAAGTTGTAAGGGTGGATTTAATACACTCCAAATTCAAAAAGGCGAAATACCATCCAGAACTGCTAAAAACTCGGTCAAACTGGGCTCAAGAAGGTTTACCCGAGAAAAAGAAAAAAGAGATTTTTGACGTGTATAATCGTTCATGTGAATTATCCGTGAAAGCTCCAAAAATTTGGAGATTATTCCTCTGTTCTCCGAGGTTCCAAAAAAGGTCAATATTTTGTGAATACAGAAAATAGTGTAACAAAATTTGTCTGGCTTCCCCAGGTGCTGCAGTATCTTTGATTCTAGACCTCTCAGAGGAGGGCCTCGATGAAGATCATTCCACAGATTTGATACATTTGATGCAGGGCAGATCCACTGTCCTGACGTTTTTCTACTCAAGGGTAGAGTATTTTCTTCCGATGAACTCAATCAATTTCAACATGAAAACAAACAACTGTTGGCATTAGAAGCCATTGAAGAGTGTATACATGAAGAAGTTGAATTTATCTCATCGTATTTCCTTAAACCAAAACTTGATGAAACCAATCGATTAATTTTTTATTTTAAAGCTTTGAGTGAGTTCATTTTTTCCCCATTTCAAGTTGGAAGACATTAAAGTCGCCATAATTCTTCTTCCATCATGCGATTTCCTGGGTTCCATAGACCTCAAAGACGCGTACTCTCTAGTATCTAGTCATGAACAACATAAAAAATTGCTTCCATTAGAATTTTGTGGATAACTCACTCAATTGTCATGTTTACCATTTGGATTGACCACCAATCCTTAAGTCTTTACCAAAATAAGGAAGCCCATAGTTAATGAATTGAGCCTGAAAGGGATGTTACTGCTCATTTATTTAGATGAATTTTTCCTATTCTAAAAAGGACACGCTTGACACAATCGATTATCTCGAAAATCTCGAAACCAGGAAACGACGCTTCCTTATTGGTCCGCCGAAACTGGCGCGGTATTACAAAGTCGCAAATTTTTTAGAGAAATGAAAATGAAAAATGAAGCTAAACGTCTATGTGAAAAGAATATGAAAGAGAATATAAAAATCTTGAAAAAACTAGTTTTCATAATTGTCCGGTAATAGAAAACTATTTTTCAGCACGAACTGTGGCAAGGCGAATCGTCTCTGAAGAATAATTAAAAAACATAACCACTGATATGAAAATAATCTGTATTTTTTCTTAACATGGAGTTGTAAAATATAAGTTGGATGAGAAACTCGCAAATAGAAAAAAATGTATCTATTCACGATTAACTCTTTTTAGGAACTGAACTTTCGGGAAGTAAGGAAATTTGAAAAGGAAATTCTGCGAGGGGTCGGAATAAGTGAAACGAAACGTAATTGGTTACGTACAGATTGGAAATGCAATTTGACTGGAGGAATTTTTGCGGAGGGAAATAAGGTAGGAGGTACTTAGAGTATGGGAAATGAGGCCCAAAGGGTCTGATCAATTGATGGGTCATGAAAGGCGAAAGACGACTGGGTCTTGGGGACTATTTGGTTTTTGTGAGGGATCGCAAATGACGGATTGAGGAAAGTTCATGTGGAGGATTAAGCCAGCCATAAAGGCATCCCGGTATAAAGAAAATGAAAGTGGAGGATGGTTAAAGGATAAAAATCTATACATTTGGTCACCAAATGTGAGCCATAAAAAGCAAAAATTTACTTTTAGCCTGTCTTCATTTTTATGACTGGACTGATAAAGGTGTTAGGGGAAAATGCAGGAATTTGGGGAGGAGAGGACGGAAAAATTGTAATGGGGGCAAGTCCGACGGGGAGATTCCCAAAGATTGTGAGATTTACCTATTTACATATTACATTTCACGTCGGAACAATAATAAACTTCAAAAAAAGTTCGTTGGTTGCTAATCAAACATGTGAATATCTCGGTTCCATTATCAGTTCACGGGGTTATTCTCTTAAGTTATCTGAAAAAAAGAAAAAACAAATATTAGAGAAGTCTAAAAGTGGTTTGAAAAAAGCAAATAGTTATGCAATTAATCATTTTGCTTCATTCTTGGGAATTTTCACAGCAGCCTACCCCGCTGTTGTGTATAGTTTTATTCACTGTAAGGGACTTGAATGACAAAAATTCCTAATGCTTAAATTTGATGGTGGAAACTATGAAGGAAAAATGCTTATAAATAGAAATATGATAGAAAATTTGCACTGGGGGAAGAAAATGCAACCATTGGTTCAATTCCAATACGTGAACAGAAATTTGCCATTGAAATATTCTCGCATTCGTCCTTTTCATGCTGGGGTTGTCATGGTAATAATGGCAGTGCCCATGAGTTCTGGAACAATAAAGAGAAGAAAAAACACATTAATCACTTTGAGTTGCTAGCTGCGTTTTTTGCACTACAATGTTTCGTATTAAACTTATTCAACTGTGAAATATTGTTGCGCGTAGATAGCACTACTGCAATAGAATATGTGAAAAGATCTACAGGGGTTCATTTCCCTCATTTGAGTAAGCTATCGAGAAAAATCTAGGGCTGGTGCGAAGAGAGAGCATTGTGGGTAAAACCTTCCTGTGGACGGCATCCTGCCTCACTAATGCAGACACAGAAAGGGAACTTTCACAATCCTATTTGAAACAAATGGAAGAAAAATTCGAGCCCTTTACAGTAGACTCATTTACATCAAGTTTAAACTATAAAGGTGAGAGATTTTAGTTTCGGTTCCCTGATCCTCCAGCCGAATTAGTGGATGCATTCACAGTGTTCTGGGAAAGTGAAAGAGTTTACCCTTTTCTTCCTTTCGCACTCATTCTTCGTACTTTAAGGAAAATTGTCAATGATACAACAACAGGGGTGCTGGTGGTACCATTGTGGCCCACACAAGCGTGGCACCCCGTATTTTCATCACTCTTTATGCACAAACATCTATTAATATCCTCTGACAGGAACGAGAACCACCCATTAGCATCTCACCTCTCATTGATGGTAGGAATGTTATCCGGTCAGCATATTTGAAAAACGAATCAACGAATCAATCGATGACTCTGTTGAAGGACTAATCACTTCCATTGCAATTTCAACCCTTAAACAGTACAAATCCTAACGAAAACTTTACTGGAATTACACACTGTAAGGTGGTATTTTACCAGTTACTGGTACTCGACCGTTTCGCGATTTTAGAGACTTCCACCAGACGGGAAGTCACCTTCAATGGCGAGAGTTTTGAGAAGAGAGGATAACATACGTTTGATTGTATTTTGTTTTATTATGAATTATGCGCCTCCGCGTTCCATTCTGAGGACATCGACGAGGATCCCTGGACGCCGAGAGATGTCATCGAACTCCTAATTTCCGATGATAACTGGATTTTCGATGTGGCCGATAATGGAGCCACAATCCAGCTATCAATTACCACGGAAGTGACGTATCACCAGAGCACGAGGTTTCGCAAATAATGGAAAAATAGGAATAAGTTAATC